TGGAGCTTCAAAAAAATTTGGATGGATCATCTTCCAAAAAAAATCAGAGGCAAACAAATGAGCATTATAAAATAAATCATAACACATTTTCAGTAACAATTTCAATTTCATGATTCATAAAAACTCATCAATTTACCCTATTGTACCATAATAATTCTTCAGAGGCATTTGAAAATGCTGGTAAGACTTCTGCTTAGCAGTACCTCTGATCCTGAGAGCTGAATAGTTTTATATTGCCTTGTGAATCTCAATTACCTGAGGCATGTGGCAATGAGCACTGCCAGGCAGCCTGGCCTGTTTTATTCCTAATTACGGTTGTGACATTTTAGGGTTCCATAGACTATGAGTTGTCTGAGCTTTGTTTCTATAGCTGGAAAAGTCAAAGCTTGCAATGAAAACTGAAAGTCCCTCTGGCTTGATGGGATGTGTTAAGAAGTCCGCCCTTATGGGAGATATTGAAAATCAGTACTTCCTAGAAAAAGTTCCACCCTGAAATTGTTTCTCTTCAGCGAAGAGTACATTGAGAGCACGCTGTAAGTATATACACTTGCAGAAAAAAATCATAGAATCACCTACGTTACAGAAGACCTTCAAGGCCATCAAGTCCAACCACCAACCTGAACCTACCAAGTCCCATCACCAAACCAGACCCCTTCATGCCGTGTTTACACTTCTCTTGAATACTTCCAGAGATGGGAACTCCAACATTTTCCCAGGTGTCCCGTTCATTTCTTGATTAAATAGAAACGTCTCCCATCTTAATACAAATTTGGAAAATTTCCAGAGTTAAATAGTTTCTATTACTGAGAGAATAGCCATGATTTAGAGGCAGGAGAAATATATTCTTGGTGAAATAAAAAGACTCTTCACCTGTGCCCTCTCACTTCAAAAAATCCTGGTTTATACCCCTTAAGTCACAATGTATTTTGCCTTTGACTTCAGCAGCACTAGTGCATTACTGTGTGTCTCACATGTGGGAATGCTGAAGGACGTAATGTCCTGAGTGATCACTTAGGTTTTCTCAGTCCCCAGAGGGGATGGAATTTTTCTAACAGTGGCATGAGCAGAAAGAACAAGTATCTGTTATGACCATAGGAATCCAGCCTGCAAAACATAGGTCATCAACTTCCACTGAAATAAATACATGCAGGGAATACTCATTGTGTCTTAGCATCAAACACTTCCTCTCCTGCTTCTAATATATACTGGCAGAGCTAGGTTTGAAATGTCAGATGTTTGTACACATCAGAAGGTAGCCCTATGCCACCTCTCAGTCGCATCTGAAGGGTTTTATGTAGCCTTTCAGCTATGCATGACCCACCACATTTAAATTATGCATTTTTTCACTTCAAAGTTGTGCACAGGTGTACAAGATACAAAATCAGAGGAAGTGCAGTGATTAGAATAAGTGCATTGGGAGAGTGTGCTCTAGGACTAAATCTTCCTTCCTAAGAACAAAATGTTTGTATCTAGTGCAAGAATTAAATTATACTGCTGTTACTTGGAGGCCCATTTCTACCTAAGTAGGTTTTCTGCTATATTTGAATTAGTCTTAGGGGAAAAAACTCACACACAAACTGTAGAAAATGAAATTATCCCCATACTGTGGAAGTAGCACAATGCTTTACATGTATATTACTTCTTCTCTCAGAAGAGCCTACAATGTGCAAGGAAACGGGGAGGAGAAATACACTTAAGAGCCTGCTCATTGAGCTGACCTTGTGATGTGGCTGACTCACACAGGATAGACATTAGATTTGCATATAACATTGCATTGGAGACCAGCATCCCCAAAATACTAAGGGCCAGTCTGAGACTTGAGGAAGCTGCTATTAAAAGCAACAGCCATTCACTTACTAAACTGTCAGTGCTATATCCTCCCTATCACTTCCTTTTCTACAGAAGAGCTGTTCAGCTTGCATACTACTGGCTTTTAGCAGATGAGCAGAAAAGAGTGGCGTAAAGGAGGGGCGAGGGCTGTGCTAATATTGTCCTGGAAAAAAAAAATTAATAATGCCTCATGTTAGGTCTCCGTCTGTGTTTGGCTACTTGCTTTGCCAATGTAGAGTTTAAGTCATCCATGGTGGAAGAGAATCTCTTTTCTATTCTTTTCAGTCCTCCATCATCCTCTGGATCTAATACCCAGTAGTAAAAGGAAGATTCAGTATGTTAGAAATCAGAGGAGATTCATTTTCCAAACAATTACATGTTCCAAAAATAGAAATATTTATGACCCACTCTGTGATTTCCTTCTATAATTGTTAAAAATCTGCAGCCAAAATTAAAAATTAAGTTACCAAAGAGCACAGGAGTGAGCCACTAGAGAAACGTCGACACCCACAGAATTTATTTATTTTTGTATGAGAGCTGCTCTGAAAGTAATGGCTCCTATTTTATCATTTCCCACAATGTCAAAGGCAGATGGTGGTGGCATGGCAGCAGAGGCTGAACCTTTCTGCCAATATTCCATCACATTTTGCTGATGTGCAACAGATGGCAGTAGAGGGGCACTTGTGTCATTGCTATGAGGCTGAGTCAAAACAGCAGTCCATAGAGTGGCACCATGCCAATTCCTCATCAAAGAAAAAGTTCAAGATGCAGCCTTCAGTGGGTAAGATGATGTTCACTGTCTTTTGGGATAGGAAAGGGATGATCCTTCTGGATTGATTTCCTGGAACCCAGATAAACCATCAACTCTGACTGCTATATCACAATACTGATTAAGCTGAAGACTAGAACTTCCTGAAAAGACCAGAGAAGACGACAACCCTTCTCTTGCAATACAAGAACACCAGAACCCATACCGGTTTCAAGACCACAGGGCACACTGCAAGTCTTGGCTGGACTGTGCTATCACACGCACCAGACAGTCTGGATCTGGTGCCTTCTGACTTGCTTCTGCTTGGGCCATTAAGAGATGGGCTTTGTGGGCAACATTTTCCTAGCAATGATGTCATCATGGCTGCTGTGAAACAGTGGGTCACCTCTGCTGGTGCAGATTTTTATGAGCACAACACCCAGGCTCTTGTTCACCACCAGTAAAAATGCACAACTTAAGTTTAAAAATAGTGCTTTGTAGCTAAGAATTTACTCTATCAAATAGTGTTATTGTGCTCTTTCTATCTGTTGTAGTGGAAATAAATAGGCAGCATTACTTTCAGGGTGACCTGTGTATGTATGAAACAGTGTATTTTGGAGAATAGAATAAATTGTAATATTATGTAGGGATTGGCACCTTTAACTGCTAGATCTTTTTTCTTTTTGAATGAACTTTTAGCTGAAACTTAGTAGCACTTCAACCTGCAAAAAGCCACCTTTTCGGAATGTTGCTTTTCTTGTTTTTACTATAACTCCACAATAGCCACTATAAAAGAAGTCTCAAAATCAAGAGGGAGTGCAATATCTTAAATCTCACTGTGGTTACCCATTGATTATAACTAATAAATAATCATAATTAACAATAATCATAAGTAATAATGAATCATCAACTATTTCTGAACTCTCACTGAAGATGAATACGTTCATGGTATTTTTCACATGATGTAAAATTTCTGTCTAAGAGTTTGTTTCACATTTAAGTTCATATACTTAAGCTGAAATATTTTTAAAATTATTTTAGATTGAGAAATAAGCCCTTTTAGAATTACTATACATCAGTTTGACTTTTACAGGGGAAAAATGTAAATTTTATCACTTATGTATCAACTTTATTTTTGGTCTTACGCTTTGCTGAGAGGTTTTCCATCAACATTTGGCAAAAGATAAAGAGATTTTAGGAGCTGCACAAGGATATCTGCTGTATTTCTAAAGCTACACTCTAATTTGGTAGTCACAGAACAATTCAATTAAACTCTAAAATCAATGATGGAAATAGGCATAATGTAATTTTCCAAAATGGTAACGATAATAGATTTCAAAGGCACCTGGGATTCTAAGCTGTGAGTCAAAATTAAATCCAATAGAGTTAATATGGGAGAAGAAAGACCACATAATGTCTCCGCAATTAGTTTTCACAAAGCATAGACAATGGTTAGGTAAAAATTCTTCAGAGAAAAGGCAGTTCCTTACACCTAGCTTTGGACTACATGAAGTCTGCATCCAAAATCAAGTACAAGAAACAGTAGAAACTGAAGTTTAGACAAAAAAGCACAAAACAAAACACCCTTTATACACATGGAAATCTGAGCTTCTGAAAAGCTTGAATGTCTAATATTGCAAACATGAGTGTATGAGAATTTTTTTAGAATGTAGCAAAAAAATCTACAAATCTGACTTTTAAGTTAAACAGATTCCCTGTTCTACACACATCCTGTGTTCTGTACCATCTCTAAGAAGTCCTCATGACATCCCAGTTTGCAATGCAGTTAAGCTTGTGCTTGGTCTTAATCCCAGCTCATCACAACAGTCTGACTAAGGGCACAGGTAGGGCACTAGTGAAGCTAAGCAGGAGCTACACTGGGGATCCTACAAAGGAGCCCATGGGTTCTAAAAAGCAAGAAAAAATGGCAGCATTTTGCCTAGTATTATTTTTCCTGCTTGTCATATTTCTGGAAGGTATTCAGACATGATAGTCATGACCTCAGTATTCATTCCTGACAGGATAAAAGAAACCTGTCCTTCTGTCTCAAGAAGCTCTCAGCAAAGTACAACAGGACAACAGCCACAGAGGTTGAAAGCTGCAATCACTGTTGGCAGCTAGCTAAGAATAGACATACTTTGCCTCCTCCACCCCACCATAGCCCTCTCTTTGTCTCATCCATCTACTGTGCCTTATCATTTAGACCATGAAGTCCGTATCATGAGGACTGACATTTATAATACAGTTTAATAGAATCTCCCATAATTCCACAGCCTTGCAGTGAAAACAACGTAATTATTAAATAGACCATCATTCTTCCAAATGCTTGTCTGCTATTGATTTAATGAGAAACTGGTGGCATTCATTAGTCATATCTCTGCAGCAATCCTCTGTGTATTTACTTGTTTGCCTAAATAGATTTCCTGATCACCTGATTGAAAGAAAAGAGAAATACCAAAAGGCCGCCGTTGTGTTCAGGAATTCTCTGCCTGTTGTGGAAGAGTTGCAGAACAACCTAACAATGGAAGAATTCGTTGGCCACCTGAGTCCAGAAGTTATTTCCAAATATATCCAAGTATCCTACCAAGTGCCCCTTAATGCACTCTGACATGTGTGATAGCCATACTGTCTTTATTCCACTTCTGGCTAATTGTGGCTTGGTTCCTCAGATCCTGCTGCTCTCTTTTCTGCCTGTCATACATAGTCAGGTAAAACAAATAAATTCCACAGCCTTTGTGCTTGCATCCTGTCTCGCAAAGAATCACCTAATCATTCTGGTTATCACACTGCACCAAAACATCAGGATCTACCTATTAACGCACAAGAGGCATCTCATTTTTTCCCAATTTGCTTGACTGAAATATAGCCCATGCTAATCATGTTTGTAACTTATATTCAAACTGTCTGCTGGTAGCCACTAACACAGTTTAATACAAGACAAGATCTGGATGTTCATGAAAAGAGGTAATACCTGTAATGCATTTAAGCAAGGCAAAAAAAGGTCATAAAGCTGCATCCCAGAGAGTTTGTTTAACCATCTGAATGTGTGATACTCCTTGGTTACACTCTCAGAAAAGCTCATGGATTTGAAGATATTCTCTTGAAGATACATACGGACTCTGCCTAGTTATGTGCTGGCAAAAGTGAAAATTAGATGTGTAACTACAAGCATGCAGTTTTAGGGAAAAAAAATTTGTAGAATCTACTAATTTTCATAGAGATTTAAATAAAGTTTGTATCCAATTGCATAATGTCAAGTAGAAATAGGGATGGGAGTAGAGGGTAATACTTATTTGCACCTTTTTTTTTTGTTTGAGCCTCTCTGTCTCAATTGTGTTATTTAGGACGCTATCAATATCTAATTCCCATTGACTTTTTATGACACTTGCAGAGAAAACCTGATTACAGTGAAGTATTGATCATTTGGGAATTCTCCAAGGGGAGGACTCGAAATCTCCTTCAATTAGAAATTAGAGCTTTGTAGAGACTCCATGGAATAGTAAAGATCCTATGTTTAACTCCACAGCAAACACTTCAATGTTTCCCTCGGAATGAGAGTGTGTTTGTCGGAAGGTCAGAGGCAAAACTGAATGCCCTAGATGCCTAGCTGACCAAAGGACAGCCTCATGGTATTCAGAGACAGATGTCCCATCCCTGGAGGCATTCAAGGCCAGGCTAGATGTGGCTCTGGGCAGCCTGGTCTAGTGGCTGGCGACCCTGCCCATGGCAGGAGGGTTGAAACTAAATGATCATTATGGTCCTTGTCAACCCAGAGCATTCTATGATTCTATGATTCACTCCAATAAGAGGATTTCCCCACTAAGGCTTGGCCTCGTTTGCAAGATGTCTGTTATTATTCCTGCATTATAGAGAGTACAACATATAGAAGTACAGATGTAGGACAAGGAGTTGGGACATTTGTTGGTATTGGATATCTCGAAGGCTGCTAACAACTCCACCAGCGGTCAGATAAAGAAGTGGAAACTGTTAAAACTAATTTAACAGTAACAAAGTACAAAAACAATGTACACCATGTAAACCACGGGGATGTAATACAAACACACAGATCAAGAAGAGGAAAAGCAAGATGTGAAAGAGTATTTGCAAACATAAAAATGAACCCAATTGCATCCTAGAGTAAGAAGAAATCATCAACATCATACTACATCTAGCAAGGCCTTTGGAATGCATTAGTATTAATGCTTAATAAAGCCTTTTAATTGTTGAAAAATTACAAAATGAAAAGGAGAAATACTACTTAAAAAAAAGAAAAAACAACAACCAAAAATCTCCAAATCAGACTATTTTCAGCAGCAGTGCTGATTACTATGCTGATTACAGTCCTGACTCCCTCACATGCTGAAGGGAATTTGGCCATTTGGGTCAAACTCTACATTTACAGATATATTTATTCATTTACACACTAAACAAGGATCTTACCCCAATAGCCAATCAAGAAAGTAGGAGTATATATATGGAGTATATGTATGGGGAGCTTATTTTTCTGCTTAGGAATAGGAAAATTCCTGTTCCATTTTGTAATTAAAACAATACACATTATAACATCTTAATTATATTTGGCATTTTCAAGGTGTTGGGAGCTGAAGTCTGTAATTATGGAACTATTGCTGCCTTAAGGAGAACAGTCCATAAATATTCATACATTAAATAGCCACTTATACTGTTTTGTAGGTTTTAGAAATGTTCAATTTTCTCTGGCCTTTTTTTAAAATGAATTTTATATTAATAGTTTAAAGAAGATAGGAGGAAAAATTTCCTGTGGGATTTGACATACTGTATATAGCAAACTGACTATAGCCTATTCATTAGAATTGTAAGCAGTTGTGTTGGGGATTCATAGTCCCTTAGAGTTATTTCTTTTCTTTTAGAAGAGTGGTTAATTACAGTCAGAAATATTATAGGAGTCCTGTAGTGGAGCTGTAAGACAGTGAAATGGATTGTCACGATTCCTTAATTTTTGTAATTGACAACATGAGTGCAGCTAACATACAGCAACTTAAAAAAAAAAAAAAGTTGTCTGCATCTCGTATTTCAGTGATTCACAATAAAATGTCACCTCAGATGCCACCTACTTATGATTGTTCAGTATTACTGCTTGAAACAGTTGCTTGCCTAAGAATACCATAACCAAAGCAGAGATGGACTTATGGGTAAGTTAGGGTCCTGTTGCTCAGGAGAGGCTTTCCTTTTCTTAATGTCAGAATAAAGGAAGATTACTCGCTGAAGATGAAACTCTGAGTGCAAGGTGCTCCATGCATCTTACTGCCCTGCATTTCTACCATAGGAAATTAACCTGTTGGGAAGCCTAGATGAAGAGATATCAGAAGGGTACTGGACCTTTTTTCCCATTTTGGCCATTTAGCTCACTGGGACCCTGACTCTGGCCAAGCCACTTAGGTATGACTTTCAAATAGGTAATAATAAAAGACATCACAAATACCTTAACATTGCAATGCTGTGCAGAACTGAAATTGCTGTGTGCATGAATTCAAATGCTTTGCAGTCTCAATGTACAAGGAAGAACAAGAGAGACTGTGCCAGAGCCCACACACCAGGGAAGTGTCCTTCTGTACAGGAGTCACCTTATCACAAATAATTGCACAGACTCTGCACAGTTCCACAAAACAAACAAACAGAAAAAAATGGGAAGCACAAAGACTTTAGGGAAGTCCTCTTTTATCTCTGTACACCTGTATAATGACTAGAAACAGTCATGATAACTAATCATGCAGGTCTGCAGTATAGTCAATAGGGACTACACCCAGCAGGAAGTGAGAATCAAGGAATTATTCATACAGCTAAAGAATCAGACATCTTCCTGTAATGAGTAGGAAGCAGAACTCAATTTAGTTACATTTTATATAATTATTCCAATATAACTGAAGTAAATGTATGTCATGCTATATGACATGTATCCACATTATTATTATATATATTTCAACGTTACGTTTTGTGTATTTACTACGTTACACATTGTATATATATATATGTTTTTAATACAGTATTTCAATGCACATATCACAGAGTTAGAGCATATCCCAGGTTCAAAGGGACCCACAAGGATCAACAAGACCAACTGTTAAGTATACCTATATATTAAGTACACATAAACTACTTATTGAAGCAAACTTATTAGACGCCTAGTCTTATTTTTTCAGTGTTCGTAGCACTTAGCTTCACTTAGGGTGCCAATAAACATTCCCCTTCTATGCAATCACAGCTTCTCTACATAGGTAAGATTACTATGGAATCAATGTGAGCCAAGATAATGCAGCAGACAAAATTTCCTGTCAGAAGATTCAGTTCAGAAGAACACTGTTGGCGATAGCAGAATCTGTTCACTTCAAACAGATCCTAAGGTGTACTAAAAAGTGTGTTTCAGAGAAATTTAGCAAGTATCCTTCTTCCCTAACCAAACAAAATCACATTTTATGTACAAAAAAACTCTACATTTAGAAATCACAAGGTTTGAAAACCTGAAAATAGCTAAGGAATGCAAGAAATCATTGTCTCTCTGCCGTATACAGTTTACATTTTTTAAAGTTTTTTAAGTTTTTATTCATCATTTTTCCAGTACACATATTTATCCAGTTTTATCAATTTTTTAATGTTAATATAGAATGGGATAAATGATACCAATTTTAATCAAGCAATTAATTTTAATTGTTTGTAAATACTGAAGACTGCAATGGCAATATAGTTTCATAATGCCTGAAATGATGTCAGGAGAGTTCATATTCCTTTCAATGTGAGGTGCTTGATGTAAAAGAGAAGTATTTTTTTCTCAAGATGTATGATCTAGCCTTATCTGATTGTTATTATTCTATCTGTCTTAGCAAATTTATTCAGTGGTTTCAAGCTTCTCCTTTTCAGCAGCAGTTAATAAAAAGGAAAAGTTAATGTGATAGCCAAAAGAAAAATAAAAGAGGAAAGAAAGCAGACAGGCAGTTAACATTATCCATAGGTACCTTAATTATTACAGACACGAAGGGAGTCATTGAATTGCAGAGGAGGCACAGGTACTGGCTGCAACCTTGCCTTGTTGACTGAGAACTCTGGAAAATGATAAACAAACAAACAAAAATTCTGATCATTTATTATGCATTCACTAATAGGATGCAGAGAAATCACACGTGCTACTAGTCACCCTTCCCACTGGCCATCCTAGGGAAGGGGCTGCCCTATCTACTCATTTATCACCCAATGGCTTCAAAAGATCTTTCTGCTATTGCTTCTCTTGTAAGAATTACTGGTTGCATCTGTGTTTTCAGAAGATAGTGGTAAGCTGGGGTAAATTTATCCCAGGAAAGCTAACTAAAGTCTTAATAAATTACTGTAAGCAACTGTGAAAGTTAAATTCACTGGTAGCTAGAGGATAAAAGAACTGTGAATACAGTCATCATATTCTACACAGACTGAATCTTATCAAAAGTAATTGCTTTTTGATGGAATTACAAAATGAATGTACCAAGGCAAAACACTCTATTATCTTGTATTTTTCTTTAAATTTTACTGTGAATCTTAATAAAAATTGGTTTGGGTATAAATACTGCCATATATATAGCAACTAAATTACCAAAAAGGGTGAGGATGAACAGCAGAAAGCTGACACCTCACAGAGGAGATTGCACTACTGTACTTACTTTTAAAAACAAAATTAAATGTCCATTAATGATTCATGGATGAAAACGCTGAATTATGTGGGCTGAAAATTGGAATGGGTATTTTAAATAGCTTGGTAGACAACAGAGTTACTTGATATCAACTGAACAGTATAATATCTCTAGAGAATTGATTATTTATAGAAGGTAAAACAAATATAGTAAGGAGCAGTGGGATGTAAACAGCAAACATTACAGTGATTTATTAAGAATGTTGTCTCTGCAAATACAATGCTATTCTATAATTTTTTGTTTTCTTCATTTCTAGTTGCCCATATTGGCATCTTCTGTTGTTAGCCTGTATTTTCTTGAACTTACTGATGTCTTCAAGCCAGTTCACTCCGGATTTAATTGCTATGACAAGAGTCTGAGTATGCCATATATTGAACCTACACAAGAAGCAGTTCCCTTTTTGATGTTGCTTAGTCTGGTTTTTGCTGGACCATCAATTACGGTAAGTTTGAGGTGCACCATTAGTTACTGAAGATTTTGAACAGGGTTCCAGTTGGCATAAAGAAAGTAAGTGCTCTGTCTCCAGTTAGGCTGCAGGGTATCACCCAAACTAATTACTTTAGGAATTTAAATTCAGTTTTATCCTCCTATAGCAAAAGGAGATGCACAGCTCTTAGAGCATTCCCTGTAGCACTTCATTTACACTATCCTAACTGCAGGTACTAAGTTAAGAAAAAGCATCAACAGTTGAGTGAAAATAGTTATAATCATTCATTAATGCTGTGCAATATTAATAACTGTTTACAAACAGAGTATCATAAGAAACTAATACAACACTTTAAAAGATCACTTTTTTTTTTTTTTTTTTTTATTGGCAGCTTTAAGTTTACTGCACTGAACATATCACTTTTTTTAGAACTAGCTTTGCTCAGTAAGGTGTATCAGCCTTGTCTGTGAACTCAATTTCATTCTCCCAAACTGCACTGGGACACATCTGAATTGAGAGTTAGTTGTTAAGAGCAGACAGAAGGAGACTGGTTTAATGGCTCATCCAAAGGGAGAAAATGATTTCAGCAGAACGGAAACTCTTGTCAGAATATGAGCAGCTTGGTGATACATTATTAATGAGTAGCAACTGCTTTTAACCAGGTCTGTACTGTAGCCCAAAAATAATACAGAAAATTACCATGTGTATTATTGGCATATGTCTTACAGCTTGTGGGATTTGAGAAATTTTCTATATGTATTCATAAAGCACAGGAAATGCCAGTGAGAGATCTTAGTGTGCAGAAACATGGATCATTACAATGTCAGACTCTTCTGAATTCAGATGCTTTAGCATTTAATTGTACTGTACGCCCTGTGCAAAGCCTACGTTACTTCTCATCTGCTGATAGACTATGACTTTTTCTCGTAGTGGTGAGAACTTCCCCCTCCATTTGAATATTTCAACACATCATTTTTTTCTGAATTCTAACAAGCCCCACACAGATTTTCAAGCTGCAATACTTAACAGGAAAAACAATAAAACCTGAGACTGCAAAACTATAAATAGATCCACATTTTCCAGCAAATAACACTTTGTTTTCACTTATATTCTTATTTCTGTTTACAATTGCCTGTGTCTTAAGTCAGACATAAGGACAGAATTTATTCTACTGCTGTGGACCTGGTTAAAATCCAAGCCAAATTAAATAATTATGGAAGATTAGGCTACCACATAATTAGAAGCTGACAGTAAATACTAGGCATGAAGCCAAAACTGATGGCTAAAACCACCTTAAGAAGAGTTAAGATATTGCTGTGGTTCTGGATCACGTGAAAGGCAAGAATTGCTGATCATTATGTTTTTACTGTAGAAGAATCCAATTTTTGCTGTGGATCAAGGCTCCAATTCCACTGAGAGCTTTACACAAACATATTAATAAAAGAAAAGGTCTCCTTTCAAAACTTTATGGTGCTTGGATTTAATGTCAGTGCCACTTTCTCGTTGCCCTCACACAGGCTAAATTGCATTACTGAATGTTTACATATTGACACACAATATGTAAAATTCCTTTTCAAGGAATGTACGTGTCAGTGGAAAATATCAGTTGTGTCCGAGTAATATTTCAGCCCTTTAAATTCTACTGCTGTCTTATGAGTAATTGCTACATCTAAATTAAGAGCTTCTTTGTCGTTGCAGATAATGGTAGGAGAAGGAATTCTGTACTGTTGCCTGTCCAAAAGAAGAAATGGGATTGGAACAGAGGCCAATATTAATGCAGGAGGATGCAACTTCAATTCATTTCTTAGAAGAGCTGTCAGATTTGTTGGTGGGTTTCAAATGTTACTCAGAAAGAAGAGCCTTCTGTGTACATTCAGTTTCCACCATGCAGATTTCCTTTTCTGAAACAGCCTTTCAGAACAGTTGCAGGGCTGTCACTGGCTTTTTTTTTTTTTTTTTTTTTTTTTTTTTGCCAGAAAATGTGAGAAGAAACTGTCAAGGGGAAGCAAGAAAGCAGCCCCGCACTCAGTAAAGTAGTATCTACGTTCTCCATTTTCCCTTTCCTCTTCTAGTCCATTGTCAGTCTAAAATAATTGTTTGCTTTTCCTTCTCTGCTCACTTTGCACTGCCTTCCTTTTAATGGTTTCAGTGCAGAGTTTCCCCTGCCTGTCTTCAGTGTATCAAAAGGATTCAACCCAGCTGATACAGCATTCAGCATGACAGTAACAACCTGTTAGAACCTGTCAGTAGACCTGATATTCTTTTTCTGTTACATGCTTATCTACCTCTTGAAAAAGGGCTAGAATCTGGCAACATAATGATAGAGAGGGACGTGATGAATTGCATTATTTCTGTATTTAATAAAGTGGAGATTGAAAGGCTGGCTGAACTTTGCTCCACTCTCACAATTAAGTCCCTCTGCCAATGAATGGCTAAAGGAAAGGTTGTCTCTGTTCCAGAAAGTTTTCATCAGTGAGGGCAACATATGCAAAGACAGGCCGCAGGACAGCAGACTGAAAACTTCCTAGGTGGACTACATGTTAGATGTCTACAGGCTGGCAAGCAGGAAGACAATGCTAGGAGATGTTATATATATAGCCAATAAAGCATATCCTGCTAAGAGCAGCAGTGAGCAGAGGGGGTTGTAGGTCGCAACCATAAGAAGAGCTTCTCCAGTATGGCATCCTGTTCCATCACCAAAGAAAGCTCAAGGATGCTTTACTTTCATCTTTGATTCATACCCTGGATTTGCAGTTTATTTTTGGTAGAACAATTACTTCAGCATTCTTTTAGGTTTGAGATGAAAATTTGATATAAATACAAGTAGAGAAATAGAGGTAGAGCCTTAGGGAAACAGCAATTAGAAAATGCTCGGTTAAAAAGTTGAATTAGCTGCTTTGTGAATTTGATATTATTAATCAGACAGGACCATAACATAGATCATCAACAAAGAAAAATTTTTGTAATTGTGGTGAGGACTTGGTACTCAAGAAACGTAACGTAACGTAACGAAGATACACCAAAGTTATTGACAGCTGATGAGTCCCTAATAATAAAGAGAGATCAGGTTCTCAGAGCAGTGTTCTATGGGCAGTTGTGTTATTAAAACGTAAAACGTTCCAATGGACAGATCCAAGCACAGAATGAGCACATATGCTTCACTTAAATAGATGGTTGTACTACAGACAGTTAAAATTTGTTTTCTAAATAGAAGCAGCTCCAATATAGTTTAGTTTTGTGAAAAAAATATATTGGAGGATATCAGGTCATCAAAACTAAATATTAAGTATCCATAGGAAGAAAGCAAGCATAAATAATCTTAATTTTTATATTAAAGAATTCATCTGAAATAAGATTCCATAAAGGAAACAGATCTTATGCTACAGTTGAATTCTTGCAAGCCCAATTACAGGAGCCACAGATCTCTGTAAAATGTTGAGTGCATTTTACACAATGACTCATTTAATTTATAAATACAATAAACTTAACAACCTTTATTGCTTTATTTCCTAGGTGTTCATGTGTTTGGTCTTTGTTCTACTGCTCTTGTTACTGATATTATACAGCTATCAACAGGATATCAAGCACCATATTTCCTGACCGTCTGCAAGCCTAACTATACATCCTTAAACGTATCCTGCTCAGAGAACTCATATGTTGTGGAAGATATATGCTCAGGAGCTGATGCTAATATTATCAATGCTGGAAGGTTGGTTCTATCTTTTTCTAGATAAAGTCTGTATGAGTTCTGCTTTTTGCTTTAAGTAATAAAGCAGAGAACATTAGCATTGTTTAGTGATGTTTAATTTTCTTTATGAAGACATTAGGCCAACTGTGGGCTTTGGAAATCTTCTTCAGGTTCAGAAGCATGTTAAAAGTAGTTAATTATTTTCTTTCCTTCAAAGGAGAAATCACAAAGCGCTTCAGTGAATACAATAGCAGTCTTGTCTTTTCCACACCAGTTTAAGCTCTTGCTAGTCATTTATATCACATTTCTTTGCATTTTTTTGCAGTCCTTCAAAATTTTTCCATATGGTGCTTTTTTAAAATGTCCTGCTCTCTAATAATATTACAGCAGAATTACAGAATGTTTGAAATGATAATGATTTCTGTTACTGACTGAGATGCATAATTTTCTTGTGTATCCAATTAGCAGGCATGAAAGCAGTATTCTTTTCTTCTGTCCTGTCCACCTCACTAAAGCTTTGCAGTCTTTTGTGGTTCTCTGTGCAGGTCAAGATGCTAGTTTCTGTTTTAACTTTATGCCTTATAGCATTGCATTTTTGTCACATGGATATTATTAAAATGTTTTGTCTGTATCACCAAGGCATATCTTTCCTAGTTTATTTGCTTTTACAAGGGTTGTTCAGAAAGTAATGCTTCCTATTTTATTATTTTGGCCCATGACATCAGAGGCAAGTGTTAGCAGAGGTTGAACCTTCCCACCAATATTCCATTACATTTTGTTGCTGTGTGATAGATGGCAGCAGAGGGACAGTCTAACAAAGTGGTGTCTGACATGGAAGTGTGTATGAAGCAAAGGTGCGTTACTGAATCCCCCTATGCAGAAAAAAAATGGCACTCACAGACATTCACTGATGCGTGCTGAACATTTATGGACACTCTTATTGGATGTGAGCACAGTGAGTAGTGGATGGTGCATTTCAGAAGTGGTGACAATGGGTCACCTCCACTGATACAGATTTTTCCAAGCCCAGCTTGCAGGCTCTTGTTCATTTCTGACAAAAACACATAGCTAACGGTGGTGATTATGTAGGGGGAAAAAAAAGTGTTTTGTAGCTGAGAATATATTCTATCAAATAGGGTTATAGAGTTCTTCGTAAGTGTTGCAGTTTCTATGGAAATAAATAGGAGGCACTACTTTCAGAGCAACCTATGTACATTGATTTCAGTGGTTGACATACTTCAGAACCATGAAATCACTCACTCTGTAAAATATCTTACAGCAGATTTCCTAATCTGACTCTATTCACAATTGGAAACAAACCAATTTCACTAACGTTTAAAGATTCTCATTTATTTGATCTTAAATATGTTTGGTCGGCTGAGGCTCGTACTCTGATTCATTTGCCATCTTTGTTATTTATGTATCTGGGCATGATTGTATCTTCATTTGGCTTAAATAATTTGGCCTTCACCTCTCTCCTGTAACCATCTGCTGCTACTGTGATACTGCCATTGAATCCGGATGTTTGCAAGCAACCTTTTGCAACTACACAGTTTCCCAGTGAAACTGCTGCACATTTACAGGTTGAATAGGAAGGAAAATTTTCTCAATTGCTCTCATTCATTTTGTTATCATCTCAAACACAATGCCCTGATTTGGCTGTCTGCAGCCATTCCAAAAACTCCTATCATATTTGTTTAAATATCACCACTTAAAACAAAACAAAACAAAACACACCAGTGAAATAGTTGTAGCAGATAAGATTAAGCAGTGGGTTTTTGTGTTACTATTTCTTAGGAAGACAACAGAATCACAGATCACAGAATCACAGAATCACCCGGGTTGGAAGGGACCTCAAGGATCATGTAGTTCCAACCCCCCTGCCTAGCAGGGCCACCAAACACACACATTCAGATCAGGTTGCCCAGGACCCCGTCCAACCTGGCCTTAAACACATCCAAGGACGGGGCATCCACAACCTCCCTGGGCAGCCCGTTCCAGGGCCTAACCACTCTCCTTGTATAGAACTTCCCCCTAACATCCAACCTAAATCTTCCCTCCTTCAACTTCGATCCATTTCCCCTAGTCCTGAACCATATACTAATAAGTCAAATTCACTCCTATCATAGAGAACATATTTGCTTAATACTCTGACACACCTGATCCCACCCTCGATTTTGCGTTACTAAAATTTTATTGCCATTTTCCTTTATCAAATTCTTGTTTTCATATAATTGTGACAACTTCAGCAAAGCAAACAGCAGTTGCTACTGGTTCAGTACTTCCTTCAGTCACCTAGTATGGGAGTTACAATATAACTTCTCTAGCTCAGGAGATTAATTTGACTTCAGCAATTTCAGTTTTTAAGGGACTTGTTCTTATGACATTTATAATGGCCTTCATTTTTAAATTTGTACATTCTAGAAATTTTGGCTCTAGAAATTCTTCTCTAGACTCCCTTATGAATTAATTTTCTGCAGTACCTTTTTTCTTTCATCCTTTTTCCTCTGTTAATCTTCAAAGAATTCTTTCAATCATTTCTATTCAGATCTCCAGTGAGATCTTTATCCTCTGTTGTTTCTGATGTTCTGACTCAGTATGACTCTCTAATCATTATTCCCCCTCCATGCATTCCTCATGCATGAGCATTCAGAGTGATATACTGTCTCATGAGCCCAGGGCATGTATTCTTTGAGATCTTTGTTCACCTCCTCAATAAAGAGCCAAGCAAAAAGCCTACATATTTTTAGCTTGAATTATTTTCATTTTAGATGAACAGATAGCAAATTGAAAAGAACAAAAGCAGTGTCACCATTAGAAAGTACACAGAGTGCACATACTGTGCTAGCTCTAAAAGCATGTGAATAGAAAACAGAACAAACAGAAAACTGACTGTAGCATAGTGACGTATCTTACCAGCAAAATGCCATCAAATTTAGGCTAAGTTCTGAGTGGTACCAAACTTCATAGAATCAAACCTACAGAATAACTCCACAGAGACTGTAAGTAAATATATGCTTATACTAAAACCTGCACAGAGTAAAGGAGTTGATAGACATTATATGCACCTGTATTTTTTTCATATATTTACCCCCTTGCCCTCCCCTGAACCAGGGACACAAACTGAGAAAGGCTTGCTTAGGAGAAGAAAAAAATTGGTCTGTCTTTGTAAGTGAAAAAAAGAATCATACTGATTTTATCTTGGCCGGAGTCAAGGAGCTGCTGGAGCCATGAGCTCAAATTCAGGTCAGCAGTGTGGCATTCACACTGACCTACATTCACACATTTCGTTACGAATGAATTATTTAGAACAGACAAAGCAGAATACATAAGAAATAAATTTAGAAACCAGAATCTGCTCCTTTGCAGAAAAACATCTAAGAGCAAAGGACTATATTTCAATCTCTGCTATTTTAACTTAGCTGCGGTGCTGCTAGAAAAAATGGATGCAGAAACATGCAGCCCAGCTAGATTCTCAAAAACCACCTTGAATGATTGTTGAAGCATTTATCCCAAGCTGAGCTTTCTATTTCAGCCTATCTCAGGTGAAAGTGGCTCCTGTGACTGCAGGAAAGACATACTCTTCTTCACCAAAGCAGCCAGTATGTTACACATCCATGCCATTTAAAGGGAAAAATGTACAGCTGTAAACTGATACACATCTGAAGTACTCACTTCTAGAGCTCAGAATTTTTCAGGGCTTCCGCAAGCCGTGAACTAGATGTCTCTCATAGAATAGCTGTTACTGAATCCACACCCAGCTAAATTTTTGCCTCTGCTATGTAAAATCTCTTCTTTACATTCTCACCTTTTTTTTTTTTTTTTTTTTTTTTAATTTAATTTACTTTTAGCCAATTGGGTTTAGAAGAAAAGAAAGAAATGGGTTAAGAAGAAAAATAAGAAAAATAAGATTTTGCCTACTGCCACATAGTTTGGACAAATTTTCATTTACACTCTTGCTCTGTGCTTCAGAAAGGAACTTGTTAACATCTAAAAAGTCATTCCATGTTTTTGCGCTCTGTTAACTCCTACTGTGTTATGAAATGATAAAATTAAGAAAGAAAAGAAAAAAAAAAAAAGACCAAAAAGGGCAAATAAAGATGAAGGTAGGGACTGACTATCCAGGTTGTATACATAGCTGAGAAGTTCTTACATCAAAGTGTCCAAGTGAAGCCAGTAGGAGTAATCATAAGAACCAGGTTCACTCATTAAATATTTTGTATAATTAGAAACACGCATAAGAGTTATTATGGAAATTTATCTATGAAAACAAATTTAGAGAAATGTCCCTCTTAAAATCAAGCATCCAGTCTAGAGCTCATTCACACTCATAGTATACCTACCATGCTTAGCACACAAAAATAATTCCATGCTAAATATTAAGATTAGTTCTTTCTCCAGATGATAGAAATCTTGAAAGTAAATATTAATGATTGATCATATATTGCCTAGGAAGTGCCAGCTGAAATTACTGTATCATCCAGTGTATTTTTTCAAGTGAACACTAGCACAATATATTTGAACTTAGAAACATAATTTGAGTGTCCTTCCTTGGCAGAAAGTCATTCCCATCTCAACATGCCACCCTGGCAGCCTTTGCAGCAGTGTACATTTCGGTGAGTAATCAACTCTATTCATTTTCATTTAAATAAGACGAAAGTCAGAATGTAATTTGCTGCACATATTACAGTGATGTATTGCCTGGACATTCTGAACAGATATGAGTTTTTATCCTGTCAATTTAAAAGCAAAATGAAATTATCAGCAGCTAAAATAAAAGCAGTTCTATAAAGAATACAGAAAAGATGTGACTGCTTCACACTCTTTGTTAAGAAGCAACATTATCCATTGTACTATTAAAGTATTTAATGCCTCATGTTATTCACATATAAAATGCAATGCTTATTTATCTTATAAGGTGACAGTTTTAACTTACCATTCAAATCAGCCTTTACATGTTTTATCTTTCCTTTGCCCTCTCTTCACTTGACTCATTGTTTTTAAACTTCAGGCATTAAGGCACAAACATTTTATGTGATCTATTTTCATTTGACCTCCATAGAATTGCATCATTGATGAACAGGCACAACCACTCTCTGAGGCCTCAAAGATGCTACTGCAAAGCAAGGCAATAAAAACCACTAATTAGCAGGAAATATTAGAACATGCTTCAGTGATTATAGCTGATTTCCCATATCTGACCACTGACATTTCTTCAGTATGGGGGCCCATATATGTATGAGTGATCACCTATTTGAAATTTAAAAAGAATTTTCCATCCTTCATGCTATAAAACCAGAGAGGAGTGGGAAAAACAACAGCAACTCACTAATCAAACTAAGTAATAGAATTGCACGCATACCAGGAACTTGCCAGTACTTTTTCAGCCTGAGAAAGGGTGAAAATTTGAAGTATTTTTGCCTCCCTTTACCTCCCATTTTCACCCCCAGATGAGAAATAGCTCTCTAAAGCATCTGGTGATAAGTTATTGCTTTCATCTGGCTTCTATGTTTCTGACACAGGGACTGCTTAGTCACGTTTACATTTAGGTTCTGAGTGTGAAAATTATTTAGGCATAAAATCTTTATCCTAATTGACATCAATAAGCAACATTGCCTCTGCTTTCAGAAATCCATTCCTTGTGATTTCAGATCTTCCTATAGTAATTGAGTAGATTTTAACAAGGCTGCTAAAAAAATTAAACTGATTACCTTCAACATTAGTGTAACAGCGATTTAAGTGTCCAAGAAACATTTGATGTGAGAAATTCATGTATCTTCTGAGGTAAATTTCAGTTTCTGTAACTGCTTCTTCATCTCTTTCTTTTTTAAGATGTACTTCAATTCTACATTAACAGACTCCTCAAAACTTCTGAAGCCACTTTTGGTCTTTGCTTTTATCATCTGTGGAATTATATGTGGTCTGACTCGAATCACTCAATATAAGAATCACCCAGTTGATGTTTACTGTGGCTTTCTCATTGGAGGAGGAATTGCTCTCTATTTGGTAAATACATAGATGTTGTTATATTTTAGAGAATAAAACATATGTATACAATAAGGGTATTGGTATTTTAAATGAAAATATTTTGTCATGGTAATGTACCATAATTAAGAATATAATCCAAATGTGCTGAAGATGATGGTGTTGAGGGTAATCACTTCTAAGAAGAAACAGGGAAAAGCAAATACGTATTTCAATTCAAAGTGCCATGAGAATGCACCAAGTGGTATATAATAGTCTAGTACTACATGCAGAAACAGCTCTAACATGATGCACTTTCTTTAAGATACATATTTTCTACTCCACACTTCAAAGCATAATACATGGAAAATATTGGATTAACCAGTACTTGCTGCCAGTGTGAGCTCACATCACATTAAAAAAATGGTTTATTGTACAGCAACTCCACTGAGTGAACTACTAAACCTGCAGGAAATCAAAGATAATATCAACCCCTTGTGGTTCTTTAGAGCTTTTGGGGAAGTTTTGCAAGGGAAACAGGATACCTGAGTCAGGTTACTCCTTTGCACTTCATCTGTACGGCACTGAAACAGATGGAGCACTTCAGAAGGGTGTTGGAAAGATGCACATAAGATAGGCTTGTTTGTATCTGATTGGAGGAAATGTTGGATGCTTCTGCTTGCTGCTTGTAATACATCTCCAACATGATTGTGTCAATCCAGGATCCTGTGAGCAATAAGGAACTTCTGCTGACAGTGTAACAGTGAATAAAATAGTCATAACAATCAGTGGGACAGCTTTTGGCCCCCAAGGAAGTCAACAATGAATTTTAGTATAATAATAAATTCATAATCTGTCCCCCTTTTCTCTGTGTTGTAATAATCTAAGGCACATGTAGGTTGCCTACAAAGGTTACCAGGGAAAAAAATTGGATTTCACAGTGGCAACAATGACAGCAACCAGAGAAGATAATAAAAACCCACAAGTTACTAAGTCAGATTCTATGATTATGCTGTGAGCAGAAAGGCACCCTGTTGAGTATATAATTTCAAATTATTAAGCTGTTGCAGACTCTCATAAATGCAGTTGTTGTTCCCATGTTTGAAATCTACAGACAAGTGTGGTCTTTGTTAGGTCATGCAATAACCACATGGGGAAGACAACACACATCTAAAAGGCACATTGTCTCGGAAACCCAGTGGTCAGTAAATCTGCACTTAAAGCTAAACATCAATAAGAGGAAAGATAGGTGAAAATACAAATGACTCTAAAAAGGACACACTGATCAAGTAACCGAAAAGATTGAGTCAGACATTTGAGCCTTTCATAGAACACTTTCTCAGTGCAATCTTTAAACTGACAGCATTTTACAATAAATATATTGAATAAGAAAATGCTGTATAATTAAATCTTGTAACAGATATGCACAGCTTGGAATGCATTTGATTTAAAACTGATAAATTGTTCTATCGTGTAGACATTGTACTACATGGTTATTATGCAGGAAAAGGGCACAATCACGGCACAACTTGAGCTGGAACGAGATTCATTAAATCAGAGCAGACAGTATTGTAGATGTTAAATAGCTTCACGCAGTAGACTACAAATATTTAGTTTTATATTTTCATAACAAAATATTCTTTCTTCAGCAGTATCTGTTGTTTTATAATAAGAAGAGCACTACTGGAGGCTAAATACTTTCCTTAAGTGTTTATAGCCAAGAAATATGTTCCCTTGTTATCCTACTAAGACCTCTACCTACCAGATTGAGAATATATAGAGAATTTAGAATATAAAGATAAGGATACACTTGGAAGGAACTCTCAGTTAAAGTGGTCTAATTCTATCACTCAATATTTAAGACAGAAGAATGTAGTTAAGATACCTAAAAATCTCTCTTTTTCATAACTACTTGTTAATGATTCTGTTCAAATATCAGGGCCTGTATGCTGTGGGGAACTTCTTGCCGAGTGAGGAGAATGTGTTTCACCCGAATTTTCACAGAGAACCTCTAAGGTCCTTGACAGACCTCAGTCAAGATGCCAATAGAATCCTGCCAGGTAAAAATGGTAGCAGCACTGATGGCATTGTCTCTCACCGTTCAGAAAGCATCCTTAATAGAAACCACAGAGATTCAGGTTCTCTGACTAACATCAAGAGAGCAAATGCTGATGTAGAAATCATAACACCACGAAGCCCAATGGGAAAGGAAAACATGGTAACTTTCAGCAACACTCTGCCAAGAGTCAACACACCATCCTTGGAAGATCCAGCAAGACGAAATGCAACAATTCATGCTTCTATGGACTCTGCCCGCTCCAAACAGCTGCTTTCCCAGTGGAAGAATAAGAATGAAAGCCGTAAGCTGTCACTGCAAGTAATAGAGACTGAATCTGGCCAGTCACCACCAAGGGCTATAGAAATGAGGTCAAGCTCAGAGCCTTCCAGAGTGGGTGTAAATGGTGATCACCATGGTCCAAGTAGCCAATACCTGAAAATTCAACCTGGTAGTGTACCAGGTTGTAACAACTCCGGTCTTTCTGGTGGGCCAAGGGTCTCTATTCAGTCACGTCCTGGCTCTTCCCAGTTAGTACATATTCCTGAAGAGACTCAAGAGAATGTGAACACATCACCCAAAAGTAGTTCAGCTAGAGCTAAATGGCTGAAAGCTGCTGAGAAGAGCGTCGCATGTAGAAGCAACAGCCAGCCAAGAATCATGCAAGTAATAGCCATGTCTAAGCAGCAAGGAGTGCTTCAGGGCAGTCCAAAGAGTTCAGAGGGAAGCACAGTCACTTGTACAGGAGCCATCAGATACAAAACCTTGACAGACCATGAGCCAAGCAGCATTGTCAGAGTTGAGGCCCATCCCGAAAATAACAGACCTGTAATTCAGATGCCATCAGAAGGTGAAGGAAGTGGATCATGGAAATGGAAAGGACCCGAAAAAGTCACCCTTCGTCAGACATATGAATTAAATGATCTCAACAGAGACTCAGAGAGTTGTGACTCCTTGAAAGACAGTTATGGGTCAGGTGACAGGAAAAGAAGCAATATAGATAACACCGAGCATCACCATCATGGTATCACTACAATAAGAGTCACACCAGTGGAAGGAAGTGAGATTGGCTCAGAGACCCTGTCCATTTCTTCTAGCAGGGACTCAACACTTCGAAGAAAAGGTAACATCATTTTAATCCCTGAACGAGGGAGCAGTCCAGAGAACACCAGAAACATCTTCTATAAAGGCACATCCCCCACACGGGCATACAAGGAATGAGAGGAGACATATCAGCTGGTCTGTACCACCACAAAGGAAACAAATCTTCACAGAGGTTCTGCCCTCTTTGTTTAGAGTTGATATTTACCTTTATGTGCCAAATGATTGATCGGCAGCGCAAAAGTTGCTGAACACTGCTGATGTGCAAAGTGCATGAGCCTAAGGAAATCATGTAGTGGGGGAAAAGCACAACGCCAGAACCTAACTAATGTGAAACGTTTTCATACAACTTGCTTCTTCAGACTCAAAGCATTTATCTGAGGGCAATGTTAAAATAACAGTCTTGAACACAGACACTTTAATTCCTGAATGTGCCAACTTTTTTTTTTATTTATATTTGTGTCCAAAATCGACTGAATTTTTCATAGCAAATGCTGTATCAGTGGTATATATTCACCTTTGCAGAATTTGCACCACGTCTTTAATACAGGATGGTGCTGATAACTTTACATGTTTTGAAAATTTGCATACTTATTAGACTCTACAAACACATGACATATTGATGTGCAGTTACTTTAAAAATAATATTGCTAATATTAGGATGATGCTGGCTGCATTCATTTAGCGTAAGAAATATTTACAGCTTTGTTATAGTGGATCTGTCACATTCAAAGATTGCAAAGGTTTTGTGTAGTTCTTTAAGATGTCTACTGCAACAAAAAATGTGTAGGTGACGTTCCATTAGAATGGAATAACTATCTATTTTGAATAGTTTTGCTGCTACTGCTCAACTTTTATTTAAGAACAGGTGCTACTAATGAAGACGCTGCTTCTTAGTGGGCTAACTTGTAGAACTGTTTTAAATTATGTTTTTAAGGGGTCTTTTAAAGTGCTACAAGTAATTAAGATCTTGCATTTTTAAACTTCCAAACAACCCTTTCCATTGCTCTGTTAGTTTTTAACTTTGTAATGTTTGACACCTACAACTGCAAAATGTGAAAGGTGAGCCATGAGAAAATAAAAACAAACCGCTGGTTTCCTGATCAGCTTCAAAGGAGACAGTAAATACTGTCATAGCCCACAATTAAAAGCAGTCATTCAGCTTACTTGCTTAGCATGCCACAAGAACAATCACAAGTTTCACCCCAGTCACCATTTAGGAAATTAGTGCTATGCTTTAAATGATGGAATGCCTTGGTATTGCAGAATCACTAAACGAGTGTTGCATTATGACACTACTTCTGTTCACTTTCCTTGAGACACCCTCCAGAACCTTGTTAGGGACTATATTCTTTCCCTCACCACTGCCACTTAAGAACATGGAGGGTGTCTGCACCTGAGAGAACACAAATTACTTTAATAAATTAAACTTCGGATGTAATAAAAGAAAGCTTGTTTGCTAAAGCCCTCCATTGCCAAAACTTGTTAAACTGATGAACTTTGAAAGGAATACACATAGCACATCTTGGGCATACTAGAAGAAAAGCTTCATTCAATGTCTTGGACTTAAAGAACAAACCCAATTACCCATGGAGGAAGCCATGGGTAATGCTCATGCAGTGTAGCTCCTCGTTCTTCTGAAGAGCTAATAACAGACATCTACTCGCTCCCCCACCAAGAAGGGTGGGAATGAATTTGAAGTCCCCTTACTGAATAAGCTACTGCTTAAATCAGGTAAATCAGGTCTGCATCTGACTTATTTATTTTTTCTAAGTCATCTTCTTATTCAGGGTATCACATAACCAGATACATATGATATGGCATAGTCTGAACTTGTCTACAAACCATACCCCACAGATCTTTGAGGAAAAGCCCACCCTGCCTGCTTCAGCCAAGCAGAAGAAAGAATCATCCCATTGCAGGAAGATAAATAGCACAACACACACAGACCAAAAAATAACAACAAAAAACTAATCACAACCAAATTCCAAATCTGACTCTAGGCCTAACTAATTATATAAACAGGAGGGTGACGTGTGCTAATCTGCACAGAAGAATGGATTTGTAGTCGATGTAAAGCTTTACATACCTTACGGTTACACAGGTGCTCCAGGCTTAGCTATCAGCCAGCCCTATCAATGCTTCCCCCACCTGCCCATCACTCAGTGCTGTGAAGAATGCTGGCCCTTAAGGAAATGACCACAATTTTGCTACTAGTGAAGACAAAGATCCCATCATGCATGTGATGATTAGGGGGAAACGTTCTGCAGGTCACATGTAAGGGGATAACAGGTTGGGTTCCAGGGTACTTTGTATGTTGAAGGCATGCTTTAAGGCAGGATAGCTGGGAAATACAATCACAGATGCCAGGGATACAAAAAAAAACAATTTTTTTAGAAATGCATTCTCAGATTCTAGAACTTACAAATCAGGATTTTGTTGGTGGTGGTGTTTTGTTTTGGTTTGTTTTCTTTTAAAAGTAAAGTACCTTTATTCCTTGGTATTTAATACCAAATTTTGTATGAGAGTCCTAGGAATTATGAACACTTGGATTGCAATGAAAAAAAAACTTTTGGATTTAGTTTAGTCTGAGTACGTGACAAAGCACGTAAAATTAGCTTTAAAGGAATAGGTAAGACACAATCACTGTTGGCCTATGAAAGCAGGGAAATAATACACAATCATGTTTTAGTTTGTGAGTGCAAGGCAAGAGAACATGAGTAGATGAGCCTGAAAATAATGGAAAATTAAAATAGAGAATAATGGCAATAAAGCAAAGATTAGAAAATATTCCCTCTGGCAATTTAGCTGTTTTAGAAACTGCAGGATTCCTGGCGGGAGTGTTTGTTCTTTATTCCTTGGTTTTAGTCAGATATATATTGGCATATGTGTTGCTTTTACTATTCTAAAATTTGCTGCACTATTTCAAGTGCAGTGTGATATTTTTCCTAAGGTTTCCTATTTCTTAACAAAAGATTTTAAAGCTCTTGTGTAATCATTGAAATTGTGTTCTTTACATAAATATTGATATATTCTTTTTTACTCAAAGTGCCAAAGGCTACTGTTTTTAATAATGGCTTATCAAATTATATTACGTTAGAGAGCAGAAATGTAATAATATATACATTAGAACTCAGACCTCTGCATGTATATTTGATAAGGAGCCTTTTGTAAAATTACTCTTTGTTTACATTCCACTGATACCTTAATTTAAAATTAAATAAATTTACAGGTGACATCTTCTTAGTGTTCTGATTTTCTTACTTGCTAACAGGCACGAATTTCTTTGTTAGGCTATGCTTTACTGAAAAGAGGAAATACTCAGAAATATGTTTTTAAATGAGAACTCTCTATATAAAGTATTGTGTTTAATAAAATGTTATGCAATGTTTTAAAATGGAAAAGAATTTGTAAATTGCTATAAATGTATTTTGTTAAATAAGTACAGATCAATGCTACTGTGTTTATTGTGCTAACATCATGAAAATAAAAATAAAATTCTTCATTGATGTTCAGTCATCTCATCTGTGATGAAGCAGAATTATTTTCCAATATTAGGTTTCTCACGATATGTGGAAGGGGTTATTAGTGGGAAACCTCAAGCCACAGCATTGCAGTAAGAAATCATGAAGAACAGAACCAAAACAAGGGTCTCTCTGAAAAAACAATGTACAGAAACATAAAATGAATTGAGAACTTCATGCTGTCACGACACATCTACCAGATCATTTTGCAGGACCAACTGGAGTGCTATGCTCCTATTGTCTCTATATCATCTTTGCTAGTTAGCGTGGGGCAGAGCTGTCAGACACAATGAGGTTCTGACTGGATTGTGAATGACAACAGGCCAGGTGTCAAGGGCAATCCCAAGAGGAAGGATTCTCCCTAGGGGAAGAAGTTAGGATGCAGAACATAGTCATCAGAGTGACAAACACCCTACTATTAGCAACAGTGAAGAATTTAAGTACAGCAGTCCACTGTCAAAAACACTGTCTGATCTATAAGCCACACCTGGCATGCAAAAGAAAACACTGTCTCCAAGCCTGCCTTCAAACACTCCAAAAAGGGGCATCAGCAGGGCCTTTAAGTGCTGGGGATGGAAAGTACCACTCTGAGACTTGAGCAGACGCTGCCAACGGCATAGTACGAACCAACAGAAGGGCCTCTGCAATGCACTAAGCAAACTGACCTTGATAAGCTCTCCCATGTGTGCTCAGGCCTTCATGCAGGCTGTGCTTTGTATTTTCCTGCCTTTCCAGCACGGTGACCCTTGAGTGGCAAGGAGACAAGGCAGCAAAGTGCTGCTGAGGGGTACAGTAGCATTGCATACACACACACCACACTCCCAGCCAAAGCATTCTAGGTTCAACCAGTGTCATCACAAGCTGTGAGGCAGATCTGGGTCACTTGGCAATCTGTCTGCCAAGACCTTCACGATAATGTAAGACAGAAGGGCCTCAGGCAAAAGAATTAGGAGAGCATTTGTTCCCTCTGAAGAGAAAGGAAGTTCATGTACAGATGTGTGGCTGCTCCTTCTGTGGCTACTGGAAGAATACTCTGCTTATAGTCAGGGCTGGTGAAAGCTCTGGCCACACCGTATTAGCAAGTTTCATGAAAGGCCAGCAGCAGAATCTCATGGGGCAGCAGGTTATTTGCCTGAGCAAAAGGACGCCTTGAATGAGGTTGTGCAAAGCATAATGTCTGGAGTCAGTGGACAAGGTCTGTCTCAGACACATTTCAGTATCCTGGGAAAGTTACAGGCAGCAATGTCCATGGTATGGGTCAGTGAGACCCTGGGAAAGAGCGCAAGAGTCTGAGTAACCTCTTGATGCTGACTGGGACATTGCAAGCCCCCGGAAGTGCATACTTCCCGATCACTGAGCCAGGAATGCTTCTTTGGAGGTCCCGAAGCAAGATGAGGTAGGCTTTGACCTGGGCCTAACAGCAACACTGCAAAGAGAGGCAGTAGGAAAGGAGGGAAAGACGGAAAAAATAAGCCACTGTTGATAAATGTATAAGATGCTCTGTGTTCTATATCAAGAAATATAGGTGGAAGTCAAAATAATAAAGAAAGAAAAGTTAAGAAAGAGACAGTTAAATTTGGTGTATGTACTGAATAGGAAAAGTGAAAGATGATACAGCATGGCAAAGTGCATAACAGGGAGCTCCTAGGTGTTTCATTTCTGCAATTTGCAATGGCACATCATTACCCTGCTTGCATTAGGTGATGTCATGGTACAGCAATTCTATAGTAATTTTGTATCAAGAACAATCAACCTCATTTTATTACACACAAAATTGAACTGAATGTCACCTTAGGGGTCCCATTTCACACATGTTGCAATCAGCCTAATGCTAGACATTACATCACTATGCAAGTTGTCACTGACTCAGACACGCAAAGAAGCCCAGCAGGACAGAGGCTACTGCAATGTACACACCAAAGTCTTTCTTCAGCTAAGCACCACAGTCTGAGAGGGGCACTTAAATTTTCATCATGAGGAAGATTCATCCTTTTACTATACCTACATCAGCTGTGCTAGAATAGAGTGAGCTTCCACCATTATCACTCCAAATCCAGGGTGTTTTATTCCTATTTTGTATTTACAGCAGTGATTGTATGGAGAAATAGCAGTATATAGCATTTTTTTTCAGGATTTTCAATTTTATTTGTATGTAATTATACACAAGCATACTGCATTTGTACAAGAAGTTGACTTCGTGTAAAATACTTTTTGTCTTTTTTAGCCAGAAAGAGTAGAATTTATCCAGCCAATTGACTTCCCATAATTAAAGGTCATGTCTTAGCCTGCCACATACATCCACTCTGTAGACTGCAGAGTAAATCAGACCCTTTTAGGACATGACTGCTTAAAGCTGAACTCTAAGTCTGATGATTTCTCCTCTGGGAATGATCCTTTCAATGGATTAGACAATTAGTAAAAATATTTCAAAAGGAACATTTTGTATGTCTACAGTTAGGCCAGAAATGAATTCCTCTATGAAGGGTACCTTTGACATAGAGATTAGATTAGATGTAGATAAATTATTTCTACTGACAAACTATCTTATTTTCTTAGATGATTCTGGTTACAGCAACAGTGCCCCTAAGTAAAGTGAACGGACTCCAATTCAAATTGCTGACTCGTATCTACTTATGCAGAAGTTTTTGGAGTTACGAATGATTAAACTGAAACTTATGCCTATTTTGTGCTAAATTTTAAAAGGGCTTCAGAGGTCCCTGAGGTGAGAAGTCAAGTAAGACATGACAATAACATAACTCATTTTTTTATAAATTTACGAAAGTGTTTTACATGACAGATCAGTTCACAGGTAATTTGGTAGGAATGTTTCAAAGAGGTTACAACCCTGATTTATAAAATTCAAAAACAAAGTTTCTTCACAGATCTTATAGCACAGAATGTATCAGTGAACAAAACTAAGATGCGTCTCCCCATTCAAAATGTATTTTCAAAATGAAAGAAAGGGAATCCTACTCTAGCACCATATATGTGTGTATGCACACAGAGTTAATGTATGCCTTTGTTCAAGCCAGGCTTTATAAAGAGAACATTAAACAGCTATTTCAAATCAAGGAATAAATCATATACTCCATTCACTCCCAGTTCCTGGTAGAACTCTGATGCTAACATTTAAATGGAAAAAGTGACAGGTTTGAAAATTATTCAGTTTTGCTCCCTTTAGTGAGATCAAAACAAGGTGCTTCATTTAAATGCATTCACTGCACGATGGTATTCACTGGAAGTAGCTTACACAGTAACGCCTTATATTAAAAGGCATGAATCAATCTTATGTAATTGTTCCCCCCTTAATGAAAAAATCTTTCATCCTTTCAGAATAGTAAATTCAATTGAATTAAGAAGTTACTAATCCAGAAGTTCAGACATTTGTAATGTCTATACATCTCTGATACCAACACCACCCAACAATTCATGCAAGCAGAGGCTTCTGGATATGTATCACAGACCTATTAAGCATAAACAAGCTGAAAGTACTTTCAAATTTCATTTTTAAGATGACACATACTTTTCTGATATTGAATAAACATACATTTTTAGACATTTTGCTGAGCATCCACTGGATTTTGTTAACTCCTCACCTTGCTTTTTGGTTCAGCACTGTTGGTCTATGGAATTACATTACTCCACATCTCTGCTTATTACAATAACTCTCCACTGAACACAAAGTTCAAATCTACATCTTCTTTCAAATGTTCTTATTAACTGCCTGAGAAGAGTCTTATAAAAGAAACCTCAACTTGGACTGGGCTTGTTTTCACTCCTAGAGTGTGATTTGTATAGACCAGAGATAAAAGTGCTAATTAAGAATGTAATTCAAAAGGACAGAAAAAAAAAAAAAAAAAAAAAAAAAAAAAAAAAAAAACCCTCAGTACAATAGGCTGTATTTCTTTTTATCCTATTTGTGTGCCATCAGTCTCAATGCCACAGAAGTAGTGCATAACCCAAGACAGAATCCTACAACTCAGCCCAATGAGATGGCACTAGGACCACTGTACTGGCAGTGTTCAACACTAGTAGCCTTATGCCTCTATGCCTACAGAAATAAAAGCTGACTGTCACACTTCTGGAAAGCTATACTATTTCAAGGTAGTTATTTTTCATTGCTCTCAATGTTTTCCTCTTTTACAAAAGTGAAGTGCAAATAATGCACAGCACCAGCACATGTAGCTTTCAAAAAGGACAGTGTCTTTGAGAGCAGATCAAGTAATCAACCCTAAAAAAAACATCAATAGAAGCAGGGCTAGCTGGTAACCCACACCAACATATGCAAGCGGTAGAATTTTGCTCTCTTCTCAGTGCTAAAATTCAAAACTCTGAAATCAAATGTTCTAGCTGGAAACAAGGATATGTCCTAACCCTCTGTCCTAATCAGTCTGTCTTTCCTGCACATCAGATACAACTGACTGACAGGAAATTTGTATGAGCCTTTGTTCTCTGTAAGCCCTAGTAATTCCTTCTTTCGGAAAGCCTTTCATTCCTGCCTACTGTACGAGGAAAAAAAAAAAATAAAATGTATCCATGCAAAGAGAACAAGGAACTTTGGCAGAAAGCAACCCGTTAACTACCATTAGCACTACTCCTGGATGTGGAAGATAAGATGGGCCAATGACCATAACTGGCCACTTTCTCATCATTTTACTTAATCTCTTGAGAGATAGTGATGTGATCTTATTGGATCAGCTAGCATCTAAATCTTATCAGACTCTCTTACCTCAAACACAGTCGAAATTGTTTGGACAAATGAAGCTACAGAGCTAAGAAATACTGAGAATGACATCTTACAACAAGAATTGGTCATTTCTTCAAAAGAATGATTATTTCTCTCTTACCATTTCCTTAGCAACAGGGAAAATCAGGGGTTCTTTTCCATT